CCCTCAGACGGGATTGATTAACGCCAAAAACTTTATCCTTTATCCTTCTTTCTTACTTCGACCTCCTTTGGCGATTATGACATGTGGTGACGGTTTGCAATAGAATAATCCCTCACAAACTGCCACTCTGACGTAATTGGTAGGAGTACTTGTACATTAGCGTCTGGAAATTTTTTGCACAGAACCAGGAAGATTGATAGCAATGAGGCAGTAAACAACATTTCTAACTGGATTATTGTGAATGTTTCAAAGGCACACTTCACGATTATTTTGAGGTGCCATTTCAAGTAGAAAAGCGGAAGGGTTGACGTAGCGTAGCGCATCGGTGATGAAGAAAGAGAATTCGTCTACTCAGCCAAAATTAGCCTCACGGAAAAATTAGAAGTGGAGAAAGAAGTTGGACAAAATAACCACGACGAGAATGGCACGTGAACGGTGTTTAGACGAGATTTCACACGCTGCGAAAGAGCTGCCTACATCGAGCCAAAATTATTCAAAACTGCCTTCCACTGCCACCATGGGTTATGAGAAGTTGTATGAACTCCTTACATGGGAGCCACTTGAGTGCGCCTAGTCGAGCCTCTACAACGCCTTTGAAACTCGTCCGCTATGGACGTAGCACTCAACCGATATAGTCTCTGAGCCTTAACAACGTACTATCTAGGCCGTTTACCGATCTGACAGCCCTACTTATGGTATATTGGGACGCCACTATTTCATAAGAGGGATTTTTCCCGCAAAAAAATTTAATCGTGAATTGTACCTTTAAGTTTAGACTTAATGAGCCAACTAAACTGCGCCTAATCCTGTTCTGTGCTTACTTACAAATTCTTACAAGAAAGGGTCCAGAAGGGACCAAGAGAAAAACGCACCTTACGAAGCAGCACTGGAGAAACAGTATCGCGATGATCAAGAATTGAAAGTAAGTCGTAATCATCTTCCCATTGTCTGACAGCTTCACGTTCAGCCTGCCTTTGGGCTGAACAACAGTGCACAATAGCAGGATCGATAGGATGCGCCTCAGTATTGAATATATAGCCACCGGCTGTAAAAACGATATGAATACTAGATATTAATCAGGTGATATATCTAAGAGGACATCTTACTTTTTGATAATGCCTGCCCAATCCTAGCCCTATGCTTTTCCTATTTAATGCCTTCTCAGTAGCTAATCCAACGGTTCAAATTATTGCAGCCAATTCCGACTATTACATTATCGTTGCCTATACAAATTTATAATAGAATGGAATATGGAATGTATAATATTTTCTATTTCGAGCTATGCAAACGTATTAATACTGTTCAATCTGCATGAGACTTTCTAAAAACATTTAGATTCTGTCTTTCATGCAAACTCGCGCACGAAAACTGACACTCAAGAAAAAAAGGCACAGCCAACCCAAGTACATCGTACGCCTACACAAACAGTAAATGATTAGAACTTGACTGATTTGTGATTGGAAACGAAACTACCATAAAATAAACTACATCATGACATCATTTTCGCTCACCATCCACGACGCATTCCCCATTGGGAGTGTCCACTATTCTCGCTTTTTGTCCATCATTATGGAGGAAGTTGTTCTCGTCAAATATCAAATAAAGATATTTCGTTGTTTCTGCCAAGAAAAACGATTCCATCCTGAATAAGTCATTGGAAGGGCAAATATTGTTTTAATCACAACTAGAAGAAGGGACACCGCCGTAACGAGTCTACAAGGTGGGGCAAAATCATGACGACAGCGCGAGCAGAGGCTCACACGTTAAAGCGGTTTTTCGCATACCATAATGTATATAACGAGACTGAGAGGAGTGATTCATGCTACAGTATGAAACTAATGTTGCAACTTTCAGATCGCGTAGATAAGAGTCGAATGGAAAAAGGAGCAGCAACGGGTATTCGAACAAGGAACTCCTACCTCGCCCCGCCGCCCTCGAGCCTGACACCTCCTGCGCCTTTTTCTGTTCGTCGTCGTAGTTATTCATAGTGATAGCCTATGTGATGTTTGGTCGATCTATATTCGTCTAATAGAAAATAAATCTGTCTTCGCTAGTTATGTGTTGTGTTGACAGAAGACGTGCCAAGGGACATAGCTAGCGCTAACTGGTAGCAGCGAGGACGACCATCGGGCTGATTCGAGGTGAGTTCTCTTGTTTTGAGCGAATGGCGACCGGGTCTTTTATCTTGATAATAGCAATTTTTCCGTTCTTTCCTTTTTTTATAATTAAAGGCACAACCCTGGCAGGTTGTCGCCTTTTTTCCGTTTCCCGGTCGTCCGCGTATGCGAACGAACCATACATGTATTTCTATACTTACCTCTTTCCCCTTTTTCCCGCTTCGGATCCTATTCCCCGCCTACACGATTTCTTCTTTTCTTCTTCTACTTTTAGTGGATCATTGTTATTCTCAGGGTGAACGGCAATCTAAGTGTTGTGTTTTGTTTTCTTTCCGTGACTATGCTTGTTCTTTTCCTCTTCTTTTCTAAAGCGGGCTTACTTTTCTCCTCTGCCCTCTCTATCATAGAGTTTTATCCTGATTAGCATGCCGCAATTTATATGGGCCTCGCGAGAACAAGTTCAAAACGTATTGCGTTCGTTTAGGAGACGCATGTTTCAAATCGCGTTTAGGAATGTGAGATAATGTGCACATAAAGGGGAACAGAAGCACTCCCTGTAGCTTCAAGCAATTTTACGTTGAAACAACCATAAGTTGCGATTGGATGAGCGCTCCAAGTGAAGAATCATTCTTTTGCTCTTCGACGTCGAAATTTTTGATCTAAGTATGCCCAACTCATGTCAGATCGAGTGATAAAACCTTTTTTTAGCCTTCTATGAGCTGGCTATGCGTTTTGTAACCCTTTTACCTTCACTGTGCATATCATTGGCTTCTCTTCTCATTTCGCTTATGTTCAACTCTTCGACAGTATACTAACCTCGGTTTATCGAATAATAGGTCAAAGAGTTCTTGCGCAGCGCCCGCAGTTCCCAGCAAAGATGTTTACGTCGCACCGATCACAAAGAACCCTGGCCGTTCCCAGGCGCGCCATTAATGCCACAGGGGCTATCGGGTCCGATCGCGTCTCGACGTCGATGCTCGGGCGCCGGCGTCGAATCGCATTTTCAAAACACAGGGTTACGGTAACGTTCCGTTCCCAGCGTTGTGATGTTTATGCGAAGAGGAGGCCTATCGCTCGGGAACCTCGACAGCATTAGAAAGGGACCATGTTTCCCATATTTCGCATTCTTTCCCAAGAAAGCCTGTTTTTGTTTTCTTTTCCGATATCCCTACGTCACTAAATTGGACGGTATAAAACGAAGGCCGTCAGTGGGCAAGTTATCAGTGATAATGCCGTAATGCCGCTAACCCGCAGTGCCGCCAAGTCCTTTGCTCTCGGGACCTCGACCCCATTGTCTGACTCAGTGGTGTCAAGGTCTGACTCCAAACCAGTGAAGTCAGACCTTGACACCACACCGACTTTGCCCACCTTCGAGGAACATCAGGATGGCGTCCCTGTTTATGGAAGCGACGCTGAGACCCTACGCGACGCTATGTCCTCGGCTATTAGCCAAGTATGGAACGACTCCAGGGCGACGGCCGCGTTTCTATGTTCTAGGATCAACGAAGGGATTTGGGCGCCAACCCAGCGGTTAAATGAGTCCTTCACCGCGATTTGGAAACAACTAAACAACCTTCCCCTGATAGCCATGTTCTAACCAGATGCCCATGGTTCACATATTATCCCCTTCCCATGATATGACGAGGATGTTTTCGGTCTGGTTGCGCCGTTTAGGAGACATCATGCGCATGCGCCCCGTGCCACTTTCTGAGGAGTAACAAGCCAGTTTTTAGTGGGCCATCTAGAGTGGGTAGCGCGAGAAAAGGTAGGCAACTCGACACGGAGGCGCGCAAAGCCTTCACCACTATCGTTGCAAACCTTCGTTCTTTCTTTGAAAGTACACAGCAGCGGTATGTGGCACGGCAGGAACTGTCCACTTGCCGTCAAGAGTCGGGTGAATTCTGTACCGTTTCAACCTGGTCCGCGCGGCAACCTCCGGTCAAGGAAGAGCTACCCAGGAAGAGCGGATTTCGGAGGAGTTTGTAGCAAGATTAAGGGGTAGCGTTTGTTATATTGTTGAGTTAGAAAACCCGACCTCCTTTGAACAGGCGGTTGCCAAAGCCCAAACCGTGCATACCAGTACAAGTTCTATCCCGCTCACTCCGTTCAGATCGACCGCGTGACCGAACCTTCCAGGCACAGGGACAACCACGCAAGAGCCGGCTAGGTCCAGGGCAAGCACGCCATCAGCTGCCCCCTTCCCCACCTGTATCACACACTTCGGGACTTCGCTGTTTTAATTGCCAGGGGGTGGGCCACTTTGCTTCGGTTTGCCCTTCTCGCAACCGAACTCCCAAACGGGCAATACCTCAGAAACGGAACTAAGAGTCTCGCCCCGGGCAGGTTTTCAGCGGTACGCTTCCCTGCCTCAAGCCAATTCATTAGCTTGGGACACAGGGTTCCCCACAGACGTTTACCGCGCGCCCGCATCATCACAGCCATCGCCTACTACAGCTCAATTGGCAGCATCTTTGGAGGACTCCCAACAAAAAGTCCGCCACTCAGGCTAGGATCGCGGCCCTGCTCCGACGCAATGACGAGCTGGTCACTCCTCAATGAAACCGAGTTCCACGACTCTTACTTCTTCTTCACTTCCTGATGTACGTTTTGTTACTCAATGTCGTTTCGCTATCTTAACTCGTTAGCCCTACTGTTGCTCTATCCGCGTGGCTGTCTGTCCGACCACGGTTCTCTTTTCCCTGCCTCGATAGTCCCCTAACTGCACAGGTATGTTACCTAACCATTCACATCCGGCTAGTAAATTTTCGCTTCGTCTTTATCGACCTAATACCAAACTTGATCCTTTCCCTGCATCCCTGTGCAAAATTGTCAAACATTCGGTCGAGTACTCGGTCACTTTTTTCGGAGTTCGAAAAGAAATCCATTCAGAAACAAGTCTCCCAGTTTCTGAGGGAGAATGTAAACAAATGAGGTTGCATCATAGATGCATATATGGGACCCCCACTGAAACATCCGGGTTTTGGCGTACCCCACACGCCCTTACCTTTTCCTATCCATGAACACCATTCGGGTATTGTACGACTCATATCCTAACGTTAACCAATTGTTATTTATACCACCGTATACGTTCGACACTCAGACCCGATGCCGCAAGCTCCTGTAGGCGATCTGTCAGCATGCTCCCACATAGATGGTGCCTGCACGTTGGCTGATGGGTCCTTGCTCATAGGACCCCGGATTTTGGAGGGAAATGCGTATACATTTTTGTCACCCGCCATATGGGTCTATGGGGGTCCATATGGCTTAGTGACGACAAGGAGTTTGCCTTGTCGTGGTCTGAGCACTCATCAACGGTCGAAAACTGCGACAAACAGCTCAGCATCGCGGACCAACGATAGGCCACCCAGTCATGGCGACGGAGGACTCGTCGGGATGTGGATGATGCAGGGGTGGTGACTTCAAACCAGCTTGCGGCTCAGCTCCTAGCAGTGGAGGGATCCACACACTCTGCTGTTAGTGCCCTTTACCGGAATGCTTCAGACATCCTGTGTGACCGCACCAATACCTTAGCGGCGACTTTACAGACCCTGCTCACTATTCAGCTACTTTGACTATGCGCTCTCTTCTCGGAAGACAAGATCGCCGCGCTTCCTATTTGGAAAACGGGTTTGTTAGTTCCGTGATGCATACCACTTCCATCGATACAACTGATATCATTTAATGGCACCTGCTATGCATTCTCTAAGGCCGAGATTGCCTTCCCAGCAGGCCCACTTTGCGCACGTTCTTGTATCCCGCCACCAGCGTAATACGTAAGCACGCGATCGTAGCTCGCTGCGAGGAAGTCCCGGCATTTATTTTCCATTCCACCAAGGGCTTCCGCAGGTTTCCCCCCATTAGACGGTTCATGGACTTCGATACCTCATCGAGAAATCCCGACAATCTCTCCATTTCTATCCACCTCCTCTTCGTCTAGAACCACCTCTTACTATATTCCATAATTTGGTTTTAACTAATTTCAGTGAAGCGTTAGATGGCTTGCATCTCCAAAAGTTATGGACCGCTCAGGACCACTCCCATTTATTCGAACATGTGGAGCACGTCCGATAGGCCATGGAGTCGGGAACGTCGTCGACGGTCGTGGGTTCCCTCTCATTGAACACTAATGTCTTTTCTTGGTTCACACCTATTTATGATTATTGGTGTCATTTTGTTTTTTGGTTACTTTATCATTTTTTAAACCATTGATCCGATTATATTTGAGATTATATGCCCCCAACTCTATGATCGCTTCTGTGGGTCACCCCAAGTTAGCCAGGTCGCCGTTAGTTCCCCTGTAGCAGGTCTCCCGGGACACTTTCACCGGCACCACCGCAACCCTTAGTGTAGTACCCCGCGACTTGGACATTTCTCATTTTGAGATCGACGCGGCGAGGACTTAGTCCCCCCCCCGTCCCTCTATGGTCTCGAAGTCCGTGTTGTCAGTTATCACCCGCAGCCATTCTTTGTTGCACAAATTTCTATTCGGGCCAACGTCGTGAATACGCTCACACTAGTAGACGCGGGGAGCCGGAGTAACGATTGTTAGCCAGTCGCTACTACCACTTTTGGGAGTACTCAGAATGGATCCAGGAGTGGTTCCGGCTGCTATAGGAATGGCAAGAATACCGGTCAAATTTGTCGGTGCCACGCCTATATTACTTCAAGTAGGCAACATTACGCTTGTTCATACGGTCCACTTCAAGGAAGCCGACTGTAGCCGGGCGGCAGATGCCTACACTGTAATTCTTGGCGATGACTTCTTATAGCGCCTCCCTCCCTGGGCTTTACACTACAACGAGCGTATCGCGCAAAGCTAGCTCGCGATTCCTCAGATGTGTCAGAGCTGAGCTCTAATGAAAACAAGCAAGATTTCCCATAGCTCCGCATGCGAATGTTGCTCTTCACAGAATAACTTTCTCGGCGTAGAAAAGCGTATAAAAAAGCGAGCGATCATATTAAAACCGTACGTTTTCTGTTCCTCCTTGCTTTTAAACGTTTTTTTTTNNNTTTTTTTTTGTATTTATCCGTATCACGTGAAAAGAGGGTTTCTCCCCTTTTTTACCTTATCTTCTATCAAAGTGATTCCTTTTCTTTTCTCGTAGTGAATTTTATTTTTCTTCGTAGAACATTAGTCTGTTCTCGCTTCTTTTCGTAAAGGTTTAATTACCCAAGTTTGAGGACACTCAACAAGAGCCCGCGTGGCATTATTGGTAGAGAGCCAAATTATTTCAGAGCGGATGTTTTCGGTAGGTAACGAATTCATCCCTATTCTTCCCACAGCCGCCGTGACGCGACCAACGTTCGTTCAGAGCAGGCCATCCCGCTTATTGTTCGAGCAGCCACCACAGTTGTAGTACCCTCTACCACCGAGGTCCTAGTGCCCTGCAAGATTGCTCAGATGGAGCCCAACCAATCATCCACTTTAATGGAAAGTTTTACGCTGCTTCATAGTCGCGCCCGCGATATCCCATATCAACCATAGGAAAGTACTTGTCAGTAACCCCACGGATGCTTCTTCGGTCATTCATAAGGACCAGAGGCCAACAACGGCACAACCCGTCGTGGAACTCCCCAACCGAACTATACTGGACTGCAATCAGCGCTTTTTGCATAATATGCTCCCTCGCTGGAGCACCAGAAGAGGTTCTGTGCCAGTTCACACCTTGGGCCGCGGCTCTCCGAGGCCGCACTTTCTGAGGCACACCGGCAGCAACTAAACGTGCTCTTCCTCGAATTCCACGATCGTATCTGCCACTCCTCTTATGACTTCGGATCGTATGACCACACGCAGATAACGACCAAGACGACATCAGAGATACCACCCTCACGGTACCGCCCGACCCGTATCGCAGCTCATTTCCAAAAGGAGCTCGACGCATATCAATAAACTTCAGCCTCCGGACGTATCGCCGAAGGTGATACTTCATGGTTACATAACACGGTCTTAGTGAGAAAGAAGGGCGGCACTTTGAGTGTTCACCTGGATTTTCGACCGCTTAACAGTATTACCACCCCGGACCATTACCCACTACCAAGTATCGAGGACCTCCTTAAACACTCGCGGGCGAAAAGTTTTATACATCCTTCGATCTAGCGTCCGATTACATGCAGTTCCTCTTGTCTCCAGAGAGCCGGGCGGAATGTGGATGGGCCGTCCATAAGGGTATCTACCAATTCGTCTATCTTCCATTCAGGCTACGGAACGCGGGCGCATACTTTTGCAGAGCTATGTCGAGCATCTTAACAGGATTGGACGAAAACTGTCTTGCATACCTCGACGATATCATTATCTTCGATAACACCTTTGGAGAACATCTCCAGTCCCGCCGCAAGGTGCTTGAACGATTTCGCACTTTCAACATCAAAGTGTCCGGAAAAAAGTTGACGAGTATTGCGCAAACTAAGATAACCTTCCTGGGTCGAGAAATCTCCGGTGCGACGTATGCACCTGCTGAGCGGAATATCAGGGCGATACGCGATCTACCCGCCCCTACACCATTTAAACAGTGAAAAATTTTCTGGGAACGCCAATTTCTTCCGCAAGTTCGTCAAAGACTTTGCCTCCATTGCCGCACCACTCTTCACGTTATGCAAGGAAAAAGCCACCTTCCAAAGGGGAGACGCGCAGGCTGCGGCCTTCTCTCGCCTCAAAGAGGCTTGACTAGAAAAACGTGCCTCAAGACAGTTCCCTCAAGACAAAGAGTTCATGCTCCATACGACGGCAGTAAAACCGCAGTGGGAATCGCTTTATTGCAGTGTCAAGATCCCATCTTACCTCCCGCCGCCATTAGCTTCTTTAGTAAGACCCTGTCACCATCCCAACAGAAATAGAGCCCGACCCATATCGAGCTTTTGCTATGATTAGTGCCCTCCGTTCTTTTTCGGACAACCATTTATGGTAATCATACGCGTATATTGTGCGATCACCAACCACTCACCTTCCTGTTACGCCACGTAAGCCGCATGACAACCTCGCAAGGTGGGTAGTCGAGCTTTAAAGCAACGATATTACAATCGAGTACCATAAGGGATCGTCCACGTAATAGCGGACCACCCCAGCTGTAGTGTAGACCCGGTTCATCGATTCACCGATATCGATGATCGATATAGCCCTGATAACGAAGGCAGAGTTCCCGCGTGGCTTGGTTCAGAGACCACAGCGGCTCCTGATCATCCTTCCCTACCGTTGAGACCTCCACTACATGTTCGTCCATACGACGCTCTGTTAGCGCAGAAACAGGACCCCTTGTGCAGTACCGTTATGCATGTTCTAGATACCAACTCCTTTCCGCCAGAAACTCCCGATAAACTGCGCGACACTTGCAAGAGATTACTCGATCACTGTGTCGTAAAATCGAGTGGGTGTCTCTACTACGTGGAATCACCAGCTGCCCCCAACCGCCGCAAACGCGAGGCGATTTTCGTACCGCTTGTTTCAGATAGACTATGTACTGATGGCCTCGCGTCAAACAACGAGCCAAACCCGCTGTCCGCAAGACGCTCAGGCACAAGACTGTGACAATTTCCATCCCCCCCCCCCCCCCCCCCTCCGTCCATGCAGGGGCGTACGTCGGGTAGTTCGGAACAGAAGGCCCCAGAATGGAATCCCTCATAGCAGACCGGTACTTGGGTACACACCCAGAACCCGAATCCGTTCGTCCAGTTGAAAAGTCCATGGCTTCTTTACATCAGCCTGAAATGGACACACTACCAGTTCTCGCGAGTGATATAATCCCAGCCCATCTCAACAGAGTCCCACTCCTGGTCCGTTACATTCAGCATCAGCGTCACCGCCGGATACTTCCACAAAGCCTAGCACTTCTCGCAGCAACGCATTTCCACAATATCGCGAACCTTCTCTGACTCAACGTCGCGTATCTTCGCCATCGCCACCGGCACCGAAGCGTCCTCGCAACTGTTTTCGAACCAATCCTCCAAAATATCCATCCCCATTCCACCTATTCTCCACGATATGTCGAGACCCCTGAAGACTACAGCGACGAGTTTTCGCATCTTCATCCGTGGGCCAACTACGTCGCAGTGCTTCCGGAATGGCCAGCTCTTACGGAGGACACGATTACCGGCCTCTTGCCTCTTCACGTGTATCGACAAATACCGCGCAATGGATACTTCGGAGGATCCTTCTCTCGATCACTGTTTCCCCGTCGATTTGTGGGCTCGCCGTCTCCATCGAACCCCGTACCTAATTTCGAAACTCCGACTGAAAGACATCGTTGCCTTTAGGTAGCACGCCGACCGCATGATGGCCGATCTTCTCGATTAGCGCTGTCAGGACAAGGCCGCAGATGTCGCACAACTACCACAAACTCCACGAGGCGTCCCCGAACCCCCGAACCCTGTCCCTTCGACCTACACTCGAAGGAGGTATTCGTCCAGTTCTGTATCAAGTAATAAACCGTTACTACGGAAATGGGGTGATCCTTGAAGCAAAGGATTTTTATACCGGGCCTGGATCACCGAGAACTCCACTGCCTACCGCTCACGCAGGATTTGGTTAATTTCTTAACTCACACCCTTTGCCTCGACAGAACGGAAATCTCGTTAAAAGACTTCATTTGGGTGACTTCGCTCCGTCCTTCCACCCACACGCCGGAACAGGAAGATCGCGAGACGGGACTACGTCGCGCCCGAAACCCTCGACCATCCGCCAGGGACACGACCCCCATTTTTCTTTCACGTTCATGGGTTTATCCTGGTTACGCCGACGCCGCTCGACGCAACGCCCTCGGGATGGTTCTATCCGTTAAACGACGCGGAATCACACAAGCTGTCAATCATTTCTATGCAGCCTTTGCGAGAAGTCTTGAGGCGGTGCGGCTTACACAGAACGTCAGCTCGTTTCCGAAAACACGCGTAGAAAGAGAGGATCTTTTCATTGCCGAGACTCGGACCAACGTTTCCTGTGCAATGCGGTTTTCCCACCCCCGATTTCGGTAGAGACCCAGCGCATTTTGACGGAAGCAACTCGACGCTCCCTCTCGGCGCACCCGGTGAGGCTCTTCTTCCGCTCCACGTATGGCAGCTTAGTCAACAGCACCGTGACTGGGTCGATGATCATCTAGCCGCTTTCACAAGTTACCACTCCAACCTAACCAAGCACGTCGACGCATTGGGAAACTGTTCGCAGTCGCTAGTGCAGTGCTGGCATCGCAAGCATTATTTACAGACGACAAACTCACCCACGGAATCACTGCGTTCGTACCGAATACCAACTCGTTCTCCACTCGTCTTCACATCGAAACGCGACCGATGTCTACCGACGAAGGATGGATTAAGTCTCGAGGAGTCGACGTTTAGGTTGTGAATTTACCACCAGGACCCGTGCTCAAATTGCGGATGTCCAGCACGACTTCAACACCAGAGTACTATTGGCGGAACTACACGCGGACATACGATCTCAGCAGAGCTTACGGAACGCAATACTCCGATACGGATGGCGCAACAGGCGCGACAAGACAGCAGCGGTGCGCATCTGTGTTCGCCTCACAAGACGGCAGACTGGGACTGATCCGATTTTTGAAGCTTTGGGTGGAGAGAACCTCTTCACATCTCTCAACCCGACATCTCGCAACCTCGCAATTATTGTTCTGGACTTAGTATATGGAAGGCCTCGCGACCCGCGACCCATCCCTTCCCCACCACAACGCAATATCTCCGTGGTAACCGCATCCCGTCAAATACACCTCTGCAAAGACCAAGTCCGTGCGGTCTCGATGGGAGAGGGACGATTTCCCCTGCCGGCGATACAAGCGGCATTGGGGACCGAAAAGACCTTAGTTGGCGCTCTGATCGCGGCGCGCCACGCTACACCTGGTGAACTGATTATCGCCAGCGCGACTACGAAAGTCGCTGTAGTGCAATTCACGTAAACACTACTGAGTTTGGATGAATATCGTTACTTGTCAATCCTACGCTTCGTAGCCGATAAATCACGTCAGGACGGAGCCCCAGAGACACCAGTTGACCTCCATACAGTGCTTTTAGGGCTAGCAGCCAATTACCCTGACTCTTTATCGTATCACGACTTCAAACATCTACGGCGATATGAGCGCAGACGTCGAGTGATTGAAACATTGCTATTCCAGCCCGAACGGACTGTTGATCTTTTGTACGAGGACCGAGAAGAGTACAAAATAGCGGAAATGCGGAACTCCGACGCCACCGGGCGAGCCGTACGGATCATGCTGCACTTGCACTTTCCATCTACATTATGCATGACTACTGCTTCGCTAATGAACTCTACTAAACCCGGAGGACTTTTCCACGACCTTCTGTCCTGTTGCCGAACCATCATAGCGGATGAAGCGTCCCAAATACCTGAGCCCGTCTCCGTATCACGTTTTCTGCGCAAAGTAGTGGAATATCATTCTCACATCAAAGGCACAGTTCACGATAAAAATGGACTCTGAGATCCCACTACAGAATGAATTTGGGACCCCGTGTATACCATGTCTGACACTATTTAGGTCCAAAAACGGCCTAGTTAGGGAGTTATAAAGGCTCGGACGAGTTTTACCGGCATTGTAGAGGCTGCACCGACCATAAGGAAATCCATATAGGAAGTTCAAACAACTTGTCATGACCCATAGTGAGAGTGAAAAGCAGTTCTCTTCAGTTCTGGCTTGATGTAGTAAGCTCTTTGTGCAATTCCAATAACTGATATCTCGTCTGAATACCCTTCCATGTTATTTCCGTCATGGAAGTCTCGTCAACCTCTGTTTTCTCTTTTGAGGAGCCTTATTTTTCTTGGAATAGGCAAATTTTCTCGCTTTCTTCACTACCGATGAACTCCTCCCAATCTATACTCCGCTTTTCGAATAAAAACGGGTAACTCAAAATTTTTATGAACAGTGCCTTTAAAGCCTTTGTACAATTGAAAATTTAATACGATTGAAGATCTTCTGAGTGCGCATTTTAAGATGAAAATAAAGGACTGCTCAAAACAGCTGCTACGCCGCTTCCGAACGAATCTCTGTGGCGAATTCCAGACGAAAAAATACTCACAGAGGAAGAGGTGGTTAATAATCGGAACGACAGAATGCACGCGAGTCGAAACAAAGAAAGTGATGCAGGGCAAAGCTCACCCATTTCCTATGAAGGTCTATGCGTGCCCCACCACCTACGCGGAAACACCAAAATATTTTTGTATATCAAGTAGTTACAGTTGATTAGGAGGCTCACTGAGTCTCGCCGTATGAGACTGATTAGAAAACAAAGTTTTATCTGGTTTTAGCGACTCGAACATACTATTCGGATATATCATCAAGACGGAGCTCTTGAACAGAGATCAGGAAGTGTCCAGGAATTTTGTAGGAATGAGTTTCCCGATTCCATAGCCTTCCATATGTAGCCACTGAGAAGCCGTAGCCTAAATCCCGTAGATTTCTCAGTGCTGCTTTTTAATAGAAGCGTGTGCGCTAAACTACACAGGAGCTTGAATGGTCTCGAGAAGGCACTGCAAAATGTCCCTCGTCGTCAACGGCATCGATTGGAAACAGAAAGCAACAAGTTACAAACTGAGCTTCAAATCTTTGTATTAAGAGCTCAGTGATGAACACTTACTTGGAGGTGGTTTGTTTTATGAGCTAAATATTCATCTTCGCATCCCATAGTTTGATAGTTTATCTCACTCGGAGGTTTGCAAGCTTTCTCCGATTATAATAATCCAGCATCTGTGCACCAAACAGCTTTTTTCTCCAGAAAATGTTCTATGGAAATGCTTCGGTAATGGATCGTTTGTCAAAACGAGTGTTACTGACACTTGCCTTTAGTTAACCAGAACAGATGGGGCCGAACGCCAGCAGATCGGGCGAATAAAGCAGTTGAGTCCAGTACTCGATACCTTTTCCTCGAAAAGCTGCTGCGCAGCTGCAGCTGCGTGGGGCTGGCAAGGTCATAAACGTTAATGGTCTTCTCGTAGATGTGTCCAGGTATCCATTGCTCGATATTAGCTTCGAGAGACTGACGACACGCTTCAGAAGCGGCTGTTTTTTTTATTCGATATTATTAGGGTGTCCATAAAGTTCGTTAGCCATTTGTAAACAGCGTCGCGTTTCTCAACGCGTTTCGAATTTGCATGATTTCGCAATGCTGAAAGTACTCGCCTGGAGCTATCTTCTGAGCTAGCTAGCTCTGAATTTCCTTTCCTGCTCTTCAAACAATAAAGCAGTGAAGATGAGTGATAGTCACCATCACCGCCGATGGTTGGTGGACCACTACAACCTGGGCATCTCCAGATGTAAGACCCGACCAGGATGCATGAGCAGTTTGGTGATAACACCTCTTCTAAGAACTGGATGTCAAAATGGTGGACTCGCTTCACCAATAGAAACAGGCATCGAAGATATGCCGAGGTCCGGCCGTCCGACCACCGTCGATGGACGAGCATTCTGGACGCTCTGGACGTTGAACCGACGTCCTTGCGCGACTCAAGCAAGGTCACACAGGTACCCCGTTCCACGATCCACAAAGTTTTTATTGAATCCACCAAGGTGTCAAAGAAGCGCCGAGTTGTCCCTCACGACCTCAAGCCGGCACAGGCAACGAAGCGGGATGGGGCGCGCTCCAACAAACTCAGACCCAGACGCCTGAGAAAGATTCTGGACTCCCTCATTTGCCAAGATGGGAAGTGGGTCTACTACTCTAATACAGAAGCGGCTGTTTTTTTTTAAAATGTCTTCAAAAACTACTTCGTACAAGTCTACGGCCGGAACAAGTGTCCGCTTGGAACCAAGTGACTCTGCATTAGTCATTCTTTGCGCCTCCTCATCCCATTCATTCGAAATCGACGCTTGCCTTTTTTGGGTTCAGAGGGCGAACCAGCCATCCAATACCCTTTAAAAAAGTGACTGATCACGTCATCATTGGGCACTATTGCACTATTACACCCCCAGTGGGGAGGGGGGGGGGGGGTGATATGGGTCGAAAAAAAATTTTCGCTGAAACATGCACCAGGGGGGTTATTGAGGCCGCTGATCACGGATATGATATCCCGTTTGCCAAATTGGCGCCATTTGGCGCCAGTTGGCGCCAAGGGTGTTCTCGCCTGATTCGCCGTAAACTTGTGTAAAGGGGTTATCGAGGCCGCTGATCACGAATATGGCATTCTTTGTGAAACGGGTAGCTCTCTTTGATGATAGGTTGAGCCCAATTACCTGAGGGCACCTTAGAGGCGCTTCAGACTTCTCGAGCAGACGGAATGAAATCGAAATGAGGTTAGAAGCGTTTTCCCACGCTTGGAAGCAGCCAAGGAATTGGCATGAGTAGCCGTATATTCATTTCTCGCTTTCGTTACCAAAGTGAAGCAATGGCTCTCAACGTTTTGAGACAACGCAATCGCCAGCAGGAGTTGAGGGATTTCTCATTAAAGGATGTGTTCGAAAAAACTCCAGATAGATCACCTGCTGTTCCAGGATTGGCTGCGATCCATGGGGCTAATATCTACACCGTTATGCCCCTCGTGCCAAGGATCCATGACGCCTAGGAACGAGGAGCACCACAATGGCTGGGTGTGTAACCGAAGATCGTGCCGTACTGGACCGACGAACGAAACGAAGGTCTACGTTCCTGCTAGAAAAGGCTCATTCTTCGACAAGTCCAACCTCGGCGAGTCGACTGTGTTTGCTCTAACCTACTTCTGGTTCCACGACATAGGAAATGTGAAGGACAAAGCATACGAGCTTCACATGAATCCTCGTACCGTTGTTCAGTGGGAGAAATGTTTCCGTGAAGTGTGCGCAGAACACTTTAGAAGGAACCCACCAATCATCGGAGGATTCGGATGTGAAGTGGAAATCGGCGAAACCCTGGTTACTCGGCGCAAATACAACCGAGGACGCTGGGTGCGTAGACACCAATGGCTTTCTGGAGGCAACGAGAGGGGAAGGGTCGAGCTTTCCTAACCCTTGTTCGGAGGAGGGATGCCCCCACTCTCCTGCGTCTCATAACGGAGTACATAATACCTGGGACCACCATATTCAGCGAGAGCTGGAGAGCTTGCTCTCAGTTTCAGTTCAATATGAGGACTACATGTAGTTCTTGTGGAAAAAACAACTTGGAGATAGACGTGAGGCCCTGTACAACTTCTGGGACTAGGTAGCAGCACTATACCCCTGCTGAACGAGTTCGACATCCTTCGTTAGCTAAGCCAACGGCCCTCTCTAGAGCCACATTTGAAGTCGCAGAGCTGGTCAGAACAAGAGAGCAAAGACGATTCTGAATAAACTGTTACATACGTTTGTAATTACTTAGCGAGGACTTGTGTAGTTCGACGGGCGAGTAGGTGGCATTTTGGTGCTATTGCTCACGTTGACTTTGATTCCCAATTCTGAAGAGGGCAGAAGTTAGTGGACAATGGGCTGACCCACTTTTGCAAGAAAACGTTCGTGAGAAGGGATAGTGTTTGTTATAGACATGATCAGGACCTCGAATAACCCCTGTATACAAGTTTACAGCGAATTTGGTGGAAACACCCCTGACGCCAACTCGCGCTAAATTGGCGCAAATTTGTTCGTGATCAGCGGCCCCCTGATGCAAGTTTTCAGCGAAAAAAATTTTTGACCCCTATGACCCCCACTGGGGTGTAAAGTGCAATAGTGCCGAAGATTATTACTGCGAGCATCATTCCAAACTCGAACTTCTGCTCCTATAAGAAACTAACGTGCCCATACGCCCAACTCTCTGACCATCTTCAATCCTCTAGACATAATTTGGTCAACTGTTTCAACGGAGTTGCTGTTCAGCGAGAACTAGGTAAGGGTCCTAGATTTCATCAATCGACGCTTGATTGCATCTATCTACCCGCTCTTCTGAGCAAAGTGTACATTGCGAGCAATATTAGTCTTGTCCTGTGTCCGTTCTTACTTTTTTGAAATGTGCGCCGATCTGTCGACGTTACGCTCAGAAAACCCCGTGCGTTGCGGATGCTGATCAAGCTCGCGATGAATTTGAGCATCAGGTTTTCTTTATGACGCTCTGAATGGGAGTCACGCCTTGTGTCTGCTCACATTTCTTTTCAGTTTTTAGTACTTTCTTCCGTAACAAGATGACGAAATTTTGTAGTGAAGTAACTAGCTATTAGGTTGATGCATATGCCTTTTCACCGTGTTTGATAATTTGACCCCGTATGGATGTTGGTATCTCGTCATCACGTGTGCGTCACTTGTGTATGATACTCTTTCACCACACTAGCTATCACTCAGCCACCCTTCATATAGAGACGACAATGCCGCCCAATTACTACTGTGACAGAATTCACCTGCGCCACAAACTGGTTTTGCTTCACGATTTCGGCTGGAGTGCGAAGGAAGTTCATCACAAGCTAGTGGATACATACGACGAGGACGTCATCTCCTACCGCACATGCAAGTCTTGGTCGCCAAATTCAAGAAAGGAGACTTTTCTCTCGAAGACACTCTGATGTCGGTTCGGCCGGTGGAGTTGGATTTGGAAGTACTACGTTCCGCCGTTGAGGAGGACTCGTACCTAAACACCAGAGAAATGGCGACCATGCTTGCCTATAATCAACTAACGATGGTACGCGGACTGGAACAGCTCGGCAAGGTAGCGAAGCTTCAGTTTCTAAATGAAGCTCCACATTCTCAACTCGATTACCACTATACATGAGAAGAGGGTCCTGTACGATAACCCTGTGAGGAAGCGGCAGTGGATCGACGAAAGAGAACAGCCAGAAGTCACCAAAAAGCCGACCTTCGGCCCAAGAAGGTTCCCCTATCCTGGTGGTGGTCCAGAATAGACAGTGAGAGCTGAGAGCTGCAGGTAAAGGGTAGACGATTTGCATTGCCCACCAGCAGAAATTGAAAGGTCACGACCGTACTCGTGGACGGAATGCGGAAATCTAATTGCATCATGACAACGCCTGACCTCACACTGCAAAGGCGACCCAGGCCGAGGTGGAGAATTATGGATGGCTGAATGTCGCCCAGCCTACCTACAGCCCTGATCTCGCTCCTTCCGACTACTGGTTGTTCCACCAATTGCAGTGCTCTCTGGGCGGAAAAAGTTTGAAACAGAGGATGAGGTCCCAGAAGGACGGGGCTGGAACTTGAAGAAGTGAATGGTGATGGTGCATACCTCCTATCTTCAGACTGCTTAGCTATTGAGATATTTACAAAAACGGCGGGAGAAAACAACCTGATTTTCCATCAGGTAACCATAAAAAATCGTGCGGTTTTGCAAGTGGATAAATAAATATACAAAAAACGGCTTAATTAAGGTCTATCCCAAAAATATTCTCCTTCAGCAAGAATGGCTTTCTCCCATCGTGAATCAAGTTTCCTTTTTTATAAAAGTTTTGCGTTTTTTTTAAAAGCTGAAAAATTGATTCACCTCCCTTTCGAGCTCTTCCCTACTTTGAAACTGGCCGATTCCTCATGCGATTATAAAGAGCGAAAAACAGGAGATAGTCGCTTGGGGCATCTGGTGAATTCGAAGGGTGAGGCAGAATCTCCCATTGTGAACGTGCTAGAGTTTCCCACGTAATTCTTGCTGTGTGCGGTCTGGCGTTACCCTGGTGGAATACAACACCTTTTCTGTTCGCCAAAGCTGGTTGATTATGGCGAAGGCTTAAACTTATGGGACACACCGAATGATTCTGCATAAAACAAGCCTCAAGGCATATGCAATGTTACCCTCCTACCACGATCAGTTTTTAAATAGATTGCATAGAAATAATCAATTAGCAAGAACCGCACGAACTTTTTTGTTGCCTAATATGTAGAGTCCGAACAAAACAACTAAAACCTAAACCTAACAAACAACCTTTTGTATGAGATGGCCTACTATTTTACATATAATGATGCTTCAAGGAAAGTGGGTGAAACACTCAAACGTGATTGCAAATGTAGTCCCACAAATGCGACCATCCTTTTTAAAAGGATGTCGTCAGTCTGTTGAAACCTGAAATTTCAAAAGACCAGAGAAATGTGTTAGGAGGATGCTGAGGGCCTACACAGACTCAATTAAAGGCACCGTTTGCGATGATTCAATGGGCGGGTGTGTCGATGACGTGNCACGTCATCGACACACCCGCCCATTGAATCATCGCAAACGGTGCCTTTAAGTGATCGCGCGGCATTGAGGCAAGTGGTGATCTTAATCAAAAGGGAAATTTGTGATTTTCCTATCATCTCCAAGATCTGCAATCCATTCCTTTGATACCACTTCAATTTTCGAGGCAAAACTTGCTAAATGAGATTTATTTTTTGACTGATGCTATCTGATATGTTTGTCCAATGTTGAAGCGATCGATCAATAAATTAATAAAAGCGTTTCACCACTTACCTATCTTCAATTGAATGATCGTTAACATTATTAATTGTAGCGTAACCACAAGGAGTTTTAGCGCTGTGTTCAATAGCCTAGAACAGTCACAATTAGGATTTACGGTCTAACCAGGAGTAAGCGTTTACTATTCTTTCGAGTATTAATGAATATCAAGTACTATTGCTACACATCCATACGTACATATACATACTTACATAGCATAGTATTATATATTGTTCTACGATGGATTGAAAATTCTAAAGAAGGTAGAAATGTGCCAAGATTCAGAGAATATATGGTTTGAAGGCACAGTTCACGATAATTTTGAGGTACCCTTTTTAGGTTTGAAGCGGAAGTGTTTATGTGGCGGAGTTCATCGTTAGCGAAGCAAGCGATAAATCCGCCTTCTTCAAGGGTTTCCAAATTAGTGGAAGTAGAGGTTGTGCGAGATCACTGTAACGAGAATGGCATGTAAGGGGTGTTTGGACGAGATTTAATTGCTTCCATTGCGCAAAGAAATGACTACATCAAGCCGAAATTGTCCGTAGCTGCCTTTCACTGTCGCCATGGATTATAACAAGTTGTTTGAACTTCCTACATGGGAGTCCCTTGAGGGCTCTACAACGCCGTCAAAACCCGTTTATTATGGGTGTGGTATTCACCCGATACAATCTCTGGCTCCTTATTGTGCCCCATCCAGTACTTTTTTCGACCTCATAACGGCAGGTAGGATATAAGAGGGATCCTCGTATCCCTACTATGAATAGATCATAGAAACTATTTTTTTTATTGTGAACTGGCCTTTGAAATGAGCGATGGTGAGCAGGGCGAATCCAAGTTTAAAAACCTGCAGCCGATTGCTACTCAGCTCCAGCAGGTGTGGCGCAGTTGGATCAAAAATGTCGTGTTGCGGTTGGGACGGTGCGCGCGAAGGAAGTAGCAGAATGCAGCCCTAAGTAAGAAAAACAGGAACAAAAGAAGTAACATTAGAATCAGGCCAAAAATAATAATCGTATATCGATTGAGCTGTGTGGAAAACGCTAGAACTGTAATTACGAGGGGGGTGGTCCGCAACTGCCCGTCTCCTTAACCAGCTTGATTCTCAAATGGACGGCAAGTCGTGAAAATAAACGAAAAAGGCAGCAGCTCAACGACCGGAGGAGAAAGTGTAGATGGGTGAGCGCTCACCTTTATCACCCGTCACCTGTCACCTGTCTCCCGTAAATTATCGATTTACTCGAGTGGGCGACGTAACGTCCTGTTCCGTCTCTGCCGCCTGCCAAAGTAAACCAGCGGATTGTTAGTGTTAAAGAAACGAAGCTACTCCTTCGCTTAAAGCTTTCGTGAAAAGGTTTGATCATTGCGCTGACAGCCGTCCTGGCGTTCACCTAAGGTCCTGAGGGATCGAATCAGTAGCAGCCCTGGTCAATCGGTCAGAAACCAAGTTTCTAACGCTCAGGAAACAAAAAAGGAAGAATTGCAGTATTGCAAAGGTGAGCGCGAAGCCCGATTTCCTTTGATTTCTGACTTCTTCACCTATTCTTGAGTACTAGGCCGTGCGTTTCTTTCTCTTCGGCTAAAGAGCCGCCATTTATCATGCTGACTTCTTGACTGGGGTGTACGTATCAAGAGCATTCATAAACGTTCGTTCCTCTCAGCATAAAAAGAGAATCAGGTCAAAATAGTTCCTCATCAACATCGCCTTCATTATGTTTGTTTATTTAGCATACCAACCTTCCAAAAGCATTGACGAGTTTGGCTATCACTCTTTCTATCTTCTTGTTCGGTGCTTCACTGCAAGGCGGAGGTGATGTAATTAGGGACGTCTGCCATCCCTACCATGTCTATGTGCTCGAGTGATGCGCTGAATAACTTTGTATAGAGCCCTTCCCTTCATGTTGACATTGACTTCATTGTAGATTTTGGTAGCAAAGTCGTAGAGCTTACGAAGTACGCTGATATATTGAGTTGGACACAACAACACATAACAAGTCTTTGATACCGGCCGGTGGTCCAAGCCCTGATGGGTCAGAACTTCGATGAACGTCAGATACAACACTATCCTACGCTGTCGCGATAAATCATTTCATATTCCGACAGTGATACTGTATGTGATCGACTGTACTACACCATTTCGAAAACCGGCATGCTCGCATGGCTATCCTTCATCTAACATACTGACAATCGTGTTAAGTATGTCTCGTGTGAAAAGTGATAGATTATAGACAGCAGGCAGACTATGCGACAGTTGCTAGCAACTTCTTGAACAGCAACAGAATCATGCTAGTTTTCCAGATGTGGGCACTTTGCAATTCGACAGGCACCACGTGATGAGTCGAGCTGTGGATTTGAAAGTAGCCGGTGAAAGGCTTTTCAGATATTTTGATTCAATCCTATGGGGACCGTGCGCCGTACAATTCTTCATCGATTCTATGGCATGTCGAAACTCGAATAAGTTATACAACAGTTTAGACTATTCAGGCCAACCCTCCTCATCCATTGTGTAGGGCCTACAGCTATTGGATATTTTTCCTCAACACCTTGCCAACAATGCCGCTCAATGCTGCGCGACGGTATATTATTTAAATCAAAGCGTGTAAGCCCGTTCCGTTTTTCCTGCAGATTATCATATTACACTCATAAGTATATAAGCCTGCACAAGCCAGCTATCAAATCGATCCCAAGTAATATTGCATTTTTATTAACAACTAACAATCATGAATTGTTTGGAAAGAAACTAGACAACAAAATTTACTGCATTTACTGCACTTTGTCTTCATAATCTCGGCTTTTCTCCTTGCGGTCGACCAGCCTGAAGTTGCAGAGACCGAGCTGTAGCAGAGCAGAACTATTTGTCCTTAGCCTTCGCATTTGGATCAGTCACCAGCTTCCGCTTGCGCGTTCCCGAGCTGCTTATCGGCGCGTCGTCGAAGTTCTTGGGCAGCAAATCGTCGACAATTAGCTCTTTGAAGTAATTAGGCGACTGAATGTCCATTTCTGGCCACGTTTCGAGTTTTTAGCGAAAGATAATTACAGTAACTCCGCTAATTATCCGGTGGACAACGGCACACCTGTAAACAGAAGCCAAAAAATCTTCCTAGTTCGTCTATGTCGGTGAGAGCCCAGTTATGATATTTTTGCTGTTTTTTTAGACGTTGGTCTAGTCAGATACCATAGCAAGCAGTTCTTCAGAGAAAAACAACTAATGAAATTGGAGTGGCGCCTCGCAGTTGCCCACCTCTGAAGTGTTTCCAACAGGCGCCAAAAGGTCCATCTATCACACCTTTGACAACGTTCGCTGCTCCTTCGCCGCAAACATAAGCTGAAATTTCGGGGTCGGAATCATCAGTGTCAGGCACAAGCGCAGGAGCCATATTGTCGCCATCCAAACACCGGGAGCTTCATCATCGCTGTCGAGCAGCGAGATGTCGAAGCTTCCGTTGTACTCCTCGATTACAATATTTGGAACATTCATCATGACAAGGATATTCGCATGATACTCTTTTGATCCTATTTAAATATCCCGGATTCAAATATGTCACCACGAAATTTGAGAGTACCCCAAGTCTTCACAAATGTTGCGCAAAATTAAATAATGCTGTATGGTTTGTGGAATAGGCAGGGATATCCGAGTGGATAAGAGAGTGCGAGGTCGATCCTTGCCGATGCAATTCCATGCCTTGCAAAAATTGCAAAAATTGTATCAGTACCAGTGTCAGGCCCAGGTTGACATATTGAGGTTGAGGTTGGGCTGATGGAGAAACCCAGTCACTACAAATATGTCTAAAGTCTCAAAAAGTATCAGTGATAAAGCTAGGACGTCACCTGGAAGTGGCGCACAGGACCCCGCCCGAGTTCTGTGGACAGTACGCGAGGGCTACCGAGGAGGGAACAACCTCAGTCAAAGAAGTCAGTTCGAATTGTGACTCTGAACGTGCGTTCGCTTACTGAGAAGTCCCGAGAGGTCGCCGACCTAGTGAAGCGCAAAAATTTCCAAGTCCTATGCTTTCTGGAGACCCGCTGAAAAAGAGCAAAGGCTAGGGAAATCGGAGAGGGTGTCAAACTCTACTACAATGGGGATGACATCAAACGAAATGGTGTAGCCATAGCAGTAGCGGAGCCCCTCAAAGTCTCTGTCTCCAGCGTCAGCAGGACCAGCAGTAGTCTCATGGCCGTAAGGATAGACACGATGGAGGTGTACTGGACAATGATATCAGTGCACGCACCACAAGCCTGCTGCCCCGTCTACGAAAAGGAAGAGTTTTATCTGAGCCTTGACGAGGCCATCCAGTCAGTTCCAGAAGGGGACTATTTTACCATAGGAGGTGACCTGAATGGGCACGTCGGCTGTGAAAGGGGGGGGGGGGGGGGGGGGAGGGGGACTGGAAAGGGTACATGGAGGTAGAGGAATGGGAGTCAGAAACGAAGAAGGAGAAAGGGTTCTCAACTTGGCCATGGCCCATGACTTGGCAGTCTGCAGCACCTTCTTCGCGAAAAGAGGTCTCAGTAGGTAACCTACAGGAAAGAAACGGAAACAGATCACGTGCCAGTAAGAAGGTCGTCCCTCAAAACTGTAAGGGACATCAAGGTACTGCCTGGAGAAGAATTGGCTACACAGCACTGGCCTCTCCTAGCAGAAATAGCCACCGATTTTCCCAAGAAATCAAGGACAAGAACGGAACGGAGGATCCGGTGGTGGAAGCTGCATCGAATAGAAAGAAAACACCTTAAAGAGAAGATACGGGGAGCTGGACTTTCAGATCCCGAAGGACCGATCCAGCAGACCTGCAGCAAGGCTTTCAAGGTCAACCTAGGATGTGCGAAAGAAACGTTGGGAGAAACTCGAGGTGGTTTCCGAGTTAACAAGGAAAGCGCACGGAGAGCACGGGATGAAGTGGCTCACCCAATTCCTAAACACTGTCACCACTGAAGGAAGAATCCCAGATGCGTGGAGGAGCAGTACTATCGTTCCCATCTTCAAGCAGAAGGGGGACGCGATGGAATGCTCTAACTACCGGAAGATAAGGTTGACTGCTCACACGATGAAACTGTACGAGCGATTGGTCAGCTCAAGATTGAGAAAATTGGCCCCAATCTCAGAGGAGCAGTTCGGCTCATGCCTGAAAGGTCTACAACGGATACCATCTTCATAGCCAGACAAGTTATGGAGAAATATAGAGAAAAGCATAGACTCTGCTACCTAGCCTTCTTCGATCTGGAGAAGGCATTCGACCGTCTTCCGCGAGAAGTCTTATGGAGAACGTTTCGAAAGCGAAACGTATAAAAACACCTCATCTCCTTAGTCAAGAATATGCACGATGGCTCCACGACAACAATAGGAATTGCCCACGGCCAGACGGGAGCATAGATGTCACTGTTGGGGTACACCAGTGATCAGCTCTGAGCCCGTTCCTCTTCCTGCTCACGATGGACGTCATCATAGAAGGACTCGTGGATGGCCCTCTGAAGACCACCCTCTACGCTGATGACATCGCTCTGATAGCGGAGAGCAAGGAAGAACTCCAGGACAAGCTCCAGAAATGGCAGAAGGTGCTGGTGGGAAACGGACTCCGGCTGAACGTGAAGAAGACCAAGTTCCTTAGCTCCGAGGAGGGCACGGAGTCAATCATCGACAGTTACGGGGAAGCCATTAAAAAAGGTCTGGGACTTCCGATACCTGGGGAGTGGTCTAGCCGCTGATGGTAGCGTGGACCAGACCGTAAAATTCCGAATAAACGCTGCATGGATGAAGTGGAGGGAGTCTACTGGTATCCTGTGCGACCGTCGTGCTCCAGGACTCTCAAAGGAAAGGTGTATCGGAGCGCGGTAAGGCCTACGATGCTCTACGGTCGTAGTGTCGGCCCGTAAGTAAAACCCATGAAAGACAGCTCCACTCCGCTGAAATGAGAATGCTCAGATGGGCCTGCGGCTGGACTTGGCTGGATCGGATCAGGAGTGAAGACGTCAGGAGGTTACGTAAGCAGCTCCAGTTCAAACGAAGATGAGGGAGCAGCGCTTACGACGTTTCGGACATGTCCTAAGAAGACCACAGAGCCACCCAATAAGGAAGGCAATGGAATTCGAGGCGCAAGGCAAGCGACCACGAGGAGCCCCAAAGAAGAAGATGGCGGGACGTGATCAAGAAGGACCTTGCCGAAGCCAAGGTGACGGCAGAAGTTGCCATAGATAGAATGAAATGGAGACGGCTGACAAGAACAGCGGACCCTGCGACGGCACGGGACTAAGGCTAGGGAGAAGAAGAAGGTTTGCGCAACATTTTCTCATACCATTTCTTTTCGAATGCTTTCTGCTGTGACGACTCTTTTTTTGAGAATGAATCAAGAAGGCATTGTCCCTTTCCACGCGAAAGCCACGAAAAAATTGCCTCGTCGTCAACGTGTTAAAGTTTACAACAGGCACAGTTTACATTAGAAATCGTTTCCGTGATCAACAACTAAGACGGTGGGACGGGTTGTGGGATTCCAAGAATGCCACTGGAGCGTTGTTAGGTCGGAAAAAAGGTTAGATAAGGTGCAATAAGAGCTCGAAACCGCCCTGGCCCCTGTGCACCCCCAAAGGTAGACTAGTTTTATCGTCATTGTAAAGGCTGCACCATTCCAAAAGAGCACTCATGTTATAAACTTATACAAGTGGTTCCGTTCTCAAACCTTGAGAATGCGTGTCTCCAGTGAAAGTTCACGGTGAACGGAGAAGTGACATGAAACGGTTTTCAGAGAAATGAAGATGCGTTACGGATCCGTAAGCTCTTTCATGTCAAGACTGAGAGCAGCAAAAGGACTAATTGCGTACGACGGGTCAAGTGAGTCTAGTCAAGCTGAGAAGAGGAATTTGAAAGCTCAGATTATGATCGTGTCTAAGGGATCTGACTTATGAAAATTGATGGGAAACGATAACAAATGTAAGAATGTAAGTATCAAATCAGCTGGTTAGGTGAGCCTGTTCACCTGGACTATATGGTTAGCCTAGTGACTTGGGCAACCAACCCAGAGGATAGGGACTCACTTTTCACATCCACTTCCAACATTTTTATCTTCCCGAGGCAGTTGCCACAGTGGAGTGAGAATGCTCGGAACTTGAGTTACAAGACAAAAGACATGAGACCCACTTTAACCCGAATACTCCACCTGCGAACTCAACCGAGTTCCGCTGGATGATACACCGGTAGTATGCAGTGGTCACAACGACTAATTTACAAGAAAACAGGTAATGGAGCTAATATGAATGACTGCTAATGACTGGAACCTTGTAATTGTTAACAGTTTCCTACTTTTTTCTTCTTTCCGTCAACCTCCCCCCTCCCCTCCCCCCTCCCCCACTACTTCCCACTACTGTTACTTATTCTCTTCATTGCTGATATCTTCTCACTAAAGGCCCTCAACCGTCGGAAAAAAAAGACATGATCCACTTGTTGAAGAGGTCTAACAAATCATGCATTTCTCTTCACTTACTCTGTGTTCTTGATTTGAAATTCTTCACCTTCTCCTATACAAATATTCCAATCAATAAGTATAAAACATATTTCGAAAGCCCTATTGAGCCCATTTTGATAGTGCTCATTCGGATAGAAAAAAAGAGCATACATCAACCAACTGCGCTGCGATTTCCAGGATCCGCGGGTCCTTCGTGGCTCTATATAGATACATTAAACTCTCGGCTATTTCGGGACGCAGTGGAAACGCAGTACGTTTTTCGGACTGAAAAGGTGACCGGATGGTCTGAAGTTGAAATAAGCTGCCGACAATACACTGCGCCAAAAACTACCGATGAACTCTGTATATTATAGAACTCAGGTGGGACACCATATTGCCGCATCACTTGCGAATACTGAAGCATTATTCGAGAAGCGTCTTCAACATTACCAACCATTGCCTGAAAGCAAAAACTTGTCCAAACGCCAAAACAATATCTATTAGGCAAACGTTAGCGAAAAAAGAAAAGCTATGCTTCGAAAACATGTGAGAATCACAAGAATAATTACCGTAGTGCTATCAAATTTCTTTTCAAAAACGTACTAACAACCCCGGCCAGAAAGCCTCCAGAGATTGGAAAATCGGCAGAGAAATTGTGGCCTTCGTCATTGTTACCCACATAAACCAATCACCCTTACGAACGAAGCGATTGATAGCTGAAGTGTAATCTGAAAAACAAAACAATTATACTGTTAAATGAGTGGTAACGATGAATAACGACGATGGTAACGTTCCCCACTAGGTGATGCATGAAAAGAAGTCCTGTCACAGTCGCAATGAATCCAAGTGAAGGAAAAAGAAAAGTTGATCACGACTCGCGTGATCTAGCCGCTGTGAATTTGTATGAAAGTAACGGGAAGGATGGGACAGAAGAAACCAAAATAATACGAGAATTTGCTGTTCGAAGTATAAGCTTGGTCGGAATGGTTCCAGAAGAGATTCAAAATTCAAACATGGGATAGAGCAAATTTGAATGATTGCATCGTCTTATAACGAATTGAAAAGAATTTATGGGTTCGGAAAATAATCCTTTCCAACAATTCCGGAACTTCTTGGGCTTGATTTCGTCAAATTTCAATTATGCACACAAAATGAGGCGAATGTGAATGACATATTCCATTTAGTCCCTTTGAAGGCCTTCAAGCTGCGAACTTAATTAGACGATGCCATTAACGTCAGACGCGGAGCAGCAAGCATTACATCCGTGCGCTATGTATCAATCTCTCTTATTCCGAAGCAGTAAATTGGTGTGTCGCTTTGCCGATATGTCGGTATGTGTTTGTAGGTTTGTCGGTTTATGTGTTTGTCGGTCTGTCCGTCCGCAAAACTTATGATTACGATAAAGGTAGTGATATGGAAAACCTAGCACTATACTACATTCCCTCCTTGTCCTACTGATATAATCGGCTAAGTGTGCCCGTTGGTGTGTTTGTGTGTGTCTCTGACCGGAAATTCATAACTCCTGTCTCACTGAACCTAGAACATTCAAATTTGCAAGGAATACAGATGACGGGATGGGAACACTGTTGGTAGGGAGTAGGAGGTGACCACAATCGATAGGGACTGATAAAGAGCCTTAAAAGGTAAAAGCCACAGGAACCTTATTAACGATGAGTCTTGGCGCTTTAGTAGGTGATGTAGGATGTGAAGGGACCGTAAATGATTGGTGACAGGGAATGATAGCAAGTGATAGGGATTGATGAGAAACCAGAGAAGGCGAGAGCCACTAGATCTGTAACGCACTTCCTGTTAATAATGGAACCTTGGAATTTTAATAGGTTATGTAGGATGTGACGGGATGTTTGACCTTGACAGTTTGGCATGTGATGTGGAGTATCGCGGGATCGTAGACGACCGATGATAGGAACTGATAATAGCTGATAAGACTGATAAGAGCAGTTACTAGCTGAATTTAACTCCTGTGATGTCTACGATGTATTTATGAATACGAAAAGATTATGACCGCCAACCAGCAGGGTTTGTAACTCGGTGGACGATCAAGGTTACTTTATGATTTGATATCATTTACGATTAAGCTCTCCGACTACCGATAATTTGGGATTCTTAACTAATGATGTACCCGTGAGTTGGTGTGCTCGTAACACACTGGTGGGGAAGGTGTTTATTATACTCGAAATAGCAACTTATACATCGTCCTTGTTTACTTCATGACTTCTGGTGATCTTCTTCATTATCTTCTTCACACTCTTCCCTCCCGGCCTGCATTCAACTACCTGAAATATTCCTACTTCCCTACATCTCCCCCCAAGCGACTTTCAGTCACTTGTATAACTAAGTACTCACCCAACGACTGGGGAAAGAATGTTCCCCTTCTCCCCCATTGTCGATACCGCATTACTTGATTTGTACACCATCAAAACATATCTTTATTATTCCATGCAAAAAAGACAGTAATCATCACCATACTATTATTCTCTTTCCTCCCCTGCTCTGTGGGAGCCAGTACTAGAGTTCGTTTTTTCTTGCATCTGCGCCACCAGTTGCGCGCCCAGTCCTCATTTGATCAAGTTCCTGACGAAGTGTGGGGCGATGTGGGCGTCCACGTGCTGACCCCACACTTCTGATCTGTGACTGTACCGGGAGCTGAGTACCTTTCTTCCTATTACCTCGTGTCTCCATACTAAAACTTATTGCACTTACCGCAGTAACTACTGGAGGCAATTGAATCACTATAGGCGTTCCAGCTCCCGTAGGTGGCGATGTCGGCGGAGGTGATGGAGATGCAGGTGGTGGAGGCGTCACATAATCACCAACCTCACCGCCTCCCCTCCTTTTACATCACCATGCTCCTCCTTATCATTTACACACCTTATCGCCTCAACCAGATTAACCCGATGCTTGACTATACATGTTCTCTCCCGTTTCTCCACATAAGTCCTCATCCTGCAAGTCATTTTACGTATTTGCTCTTACCCCCTCGGTGGTACTCCTTGTTCCAATTCCGACCTTCCTTTTTTGGCTGTCCTCACTAACTCCTGCTCCGGCACCGGTCTTTCTTTTATTTGATCAGCATGAGCTTTCCGGCTACCTATTCCAAAATGAATTTTGCACATCTAGCCACCCAAAACTTGGGTGACGATTCCTAGGATCCACTTGTCCCCTTTCTGGTAGTTCCGAATATAGACTTGTTGACCGACTACAAAAGTTCTCTCTCTTCTCCCCCTCTTGTTGTAGTCGGCAACCATCCGCTCTCTATGAGTACTACTCCTCCTTCGTTTTCCTTATGTCTAACGTGGTCCTCAATTCTCTCCCCATCAGTATTTCGGCCGGCAACCTACCCGTCACACGGTGAGGGGTTACTCTATACTCAAAAAGCGATTCCGTCAGCACGTTTCTGGCTTCTTGCCATCACGAAGCCCCTTACACCATCCTTTTTTATAAGTCTGGACAAATCTTTCTGCTTCACCATTATTATTAGGATGGTATGGCGAGGTCAAGGTTAACGTAATATTCCTTTCCTCGCAAAACTTCCTGAACAGCGCTGACGAAAATGGAGGGCCTTTATCAGATATAATTTGTTCCGTGAGCCCATGCGTGGCGAAGATCGTTCGCAATTTCTCAATAGTTTTTCCGGCCGTGGTAAGGCCCATGAGGACCACTTCCGGTCATCTGGACTCAGCATCAACTACTATCAGCCGCTTTTCTCCACCTTGCGTCTAGCAGAAATCTATATGTATTCTCTGCCAAGGTTTGGCTGGCTCTTCCCACAAATGCAGTGGTGTTTTCACCGAATCATTAGCGAAAACGGCAAAGTCTCACACGTTCTCGCTAATTAAGCAATTCCCTTATCAATTTCCAGGTACCATACTTTCCTCCGGGCAAGACTTATCATGCGGTTTTTCCCGTAATGACTGGTGTGCAACATTTGCAACACCTTTTTTCTCTACTTAGACGGTATAATCACCCTATTTCCCATAAGAGACACCCGCCATATATGGATATTGCACTCATCACCGCATAAATTTTTGAATTCTCTTCTACTTTAGGTGGCCAGCTCTTCTTAACATAATGTAAGACCCTAACTAGTTCTGGGTCCTTCAATGTCGCTCTAGCTACAGCTTCTTTCGACAAGGGCAAATTTTCAAAAAATCTCCTGATCCATAGCTCTTGCCTGAAGCTCACTAATTACGACTTCAGCGCTAGGTGACTCGCTAGGGTCAGGTAGCCGTGACAAGCCATCCGCGTTACCAAACTTCGCGGTTTTCCGATATTCTATATCAAATGAAAAACCCATCAACCGCATTCCCCATCGATGCAGTCTCTTGGCCGCTATCGTGGGCAGCCCATTTTTTGGACCAAATATTCTCACTAACGGCTGATGATCTGTCGATAATGTAAATCTCGTGCCGTATAGGAACTGATTGAATTTTTCCACACCGTATACTATACCTAGCGCCTCTTTTTCTATTTGCGCGTAATTCCTCCCTTTTTTAATTAAGGAGCGTGACGCATAAGCGATCACTTTCTCTTTACCATCTTTGTACTTATGGTAGATAACCGCTCCTAGGCCATAATCCGACGCATCTGTAGCTAATATCAGTGGCACATCCGGATTGTAATGCGCTAGCACATCTATTTCTGGCGCCGAAGCCATACCAAAAGCTATCCTGTTGTACCCAAACAGTGCTTTCTGGGTGTTTACTGTATATATTTCCTAGACTCTTTGTCTAGCTCCACTTGCATATAGATCTAATTTCGAAAACTTTTGCCCGCCGTTCAACATATGAAATAAATCATCCGGCTTCGGCAGTGGATACTGGTTTATATCCAATTGCGGATTTATTGTTATCTTATAATCTTCGCATATTCTGATCTTGCCCCCAGGCTTTGACACGGCCGCTAACGGAGTAGCCCACTCCGGATGGTCCACCTGAGTCAAGATGCCATTACCAGCTTACTCTCAAGTTTTTTTCTCTTTCACTTTGGGCCGTAAGGCCAGCGGTAACGGTCGTGCTATAAAAAACTTCGGTGCCGGCTCCACTTTAAACTTTAGCGTCGCCTGAGCGGTTGTACATTTTCCTAGGCCGGGCTTGAATACGCACTGATATTCTTCTAAAATTTTAGCCAGTTCCTATTTACCATTCGCAAAGGCTTCTCCTGCATTTCATGTACACTCTGATAAAATGGGACGCAATCAAACTTTAAAGCTTTGACCATATCTCTTCCGCATAACGTGCAGGCTGCTCCCTCGAGCACATGTAGGTCCATTTTGGCTCGTCTGCCACTGAACTGGACCCAAATCGTGCCTTTACCACAAAACTGGATCGGGCTATTATTATAAGCAGTGGCCTCAATTGTTGCTTCTGTTAGCCGGGGCTTACCTACCTTCCTCCACGATGCCACATCCAAAATTGATACTGAGGCTCCCGTATCTAATTCACATAATACGTCGGTGCCATGAGTATTCGTTCTCAGCATAGTTGCTGGCTCCACCTTCCCTCTGGCACAACGACTGGTCTCCCGATCGACGCAACTTTGCGGATCGTCCGACCTCCGGTTCAAGGGTTCTCCCGGCTTCCTGGGCTTGGTGCCTCGACTTAACCAGCTCTTCTCTACGACCTTGACGTTCTCTATGACTCACTCTATCTATATTGTTCTCACTAATAACAATTTCGTCAAGGTCGGAGGTGCTGAGCTCCGCACACCA